CCAACAGGGGATTAATATGCAGAACATATAAACAACTCAAAACACTTGACACCAAAACACAAATAACATAATCAAAAATGAACAAAAGAACAAAACAGAAACTTCTCAAAAAAAGAAATACATATGGTCAACAAATATGTGTTAATATGTTTTTAAATTATAGGAGACTTGAAAGAAGAACATATTTGTTGTTAATATTGTTTTCTACATTTGAAAAATCTGTTGCTATGAAAAAGAATACACTGAGTCATGCTATGGTAATAAATAAACACGACTACCAGCTTTGAAGAGTAATAAGAGGTTTATTATATGTATGTGCATAAAAATACATGCAATTTATTACAAAGCCTATAGTTTTAAATTCAGAGTGAAAATGTTGAGTCATGGTATAGATTGTTCAGTGTTAGTCATCTTCCCACATATTAAGATATCATAAATTCCCTTTTTAAGCAAATTAAGGAGTAACACATATCAAAATATAAAAGCATGATACACAGATTATACAGAAGTATACATACATGATAAATAATTTATATACATGAATTTTTATTTTTTATTTTTTTTTATAAATTTACATCCTCAATTTTTTTAATTATTATTATTTTTTATGAGAGAGTGATGGAGAGAGAGAGAGAGAATTTTTAATATTTATTTTTTAGTTATCGGCGGACACAACATCGTTGTTTGTATGTGGTGCTGAGGATCGAACCCGGGCCGCACGCATGCCAGGCGAGCGCGCTACCGCTTGAGCCACATCCCCAGCTATACATGAATTTTTAAATGATAGTGTTGGCATTATAAAAGAGTGGAGAAATGTTGAAATAGTAAAATTAATTTGAGGTCTTTCATTATGCATAAGAAAAAATATTTAAAGGAATTTTTACCTCACACTACAGTAAAAATAATCAACTCCTTTATTTCAAAGACTTCCAGGGACTAAAGATAAAGTTTAAAATTTTTACTTAAAAACATGGCACACTATTCATTAGGTACATAGGCTAAGGGAGTACCTTTGTTAAAAAAAAAAAAATCTCACATATATTTGGTTAAACAATAGTTCAAATCACATTATTTTACTAGCTAATGCCAGAACAAAATTCTTTTGAGGTGGAAATCTCAAAGTGATATAATCACGGAGTCTTGTTGAATTGTTACCAAAGCAGATACTATTTATGTTCAATTTTACTAACTCCTGATGACATCTAGCTTATTTCTTATTACATGGTATTGATTAGATCAGCTGCATGTGTTTTACTCTAGGGACACAATTCGCTTCTATTTTCAAAAGTTACAAACTTCCCCTTGATTCTCAAGAATCTGTTGCACATATAAACTGTCTGTCATTGTGTGTGTGTGTGTGTGTGTGTGTGTGTGTGTTGAATTGGTATTAATATGAAATGTTCTAGAGGGGATTCCACTGGGGTATTCCTACTACTGAAGCAAACAATGCACCCCTGTATTTGCATAAATAACAGGAATATAAATCTACCCTTCCTCAGCTTCTGCATTTCTCCTGATGCCACATCCCTTACTTGTTGTCATGAAAATATTATGATTGCATTGTGATTTTCTTTAAAAAATCACTTAAAAACACCAATTCATCATAAAATGATGTATTAATAACTTCAAACACATTAAAATTAACTATTTTTACTACTGGTAGATTAAAAAGTCAAAATCTTTATATGAACACACTTGGCAATATAAAAATAATGACAAATATCTATAGAAGCACAATTCACAGTAGCCAAGTTATGAAACCAACCCAAGTCCCCTTCAACAGATGAATGGATAAACAAAATGTGATACACACACATAATAAAATTTTACTCATTCATAAAGAAGAATAAAATTATGACATTTGCTGGTAAATGGATGGAACCAGAGAGCATCATGCTAAGTGAAATAAGGCAGACTTAGAAAATCAAAGATTGAATGTTTTCTCTCAACTGTGCAAATGAGAGTGAAACAGGGAAAATAAAGGGAAGTGGAGGTCACATGAAGATAGGAGGCTGATAAATGGAGCAGAGGAAGGAAACTGGAGGAGAGAGAAGAAGGTTGGAAAAAGGGAGAAACTGCAACGAATTGACCAAATTATGCTGTTTCCACATATGCACACACCACAGTGTATATCTATAAAGCACCAATTTAGGGGGTGGGAGGGGAAGGGAGGAGGTATGGGGTTAGAAATGATGGTGGAATGTGATGGACATTATTATCCAAAGTGCATGTATAAAGACACAAATTGATGTGAATATACTTTGTAAATAACCAGAGATATGAAAAATTGAGCAGAAAATTTTCCCTATTGGCCTATCATTTCCATGATTAATATCTTACATTGGTATAGTGACTTTGTTACAATTGAATCAATATTGGTAAGCTAAAATTGTTGAAAGCCCTGTGATTTACACTAGGATT